GGCCCTAGAGGACCCCCCCATTCCGCCATCAGTGACCCTCTCCCCAGTGTGTCACCCTGTGTCCAGGTGGCTGTGCACTGCCAGCAGGTGCTGCCTCTGGCTCCAGGTCGCTCTGCTCCTCCCTGTGAGGTTCAGGTACACACGGACTGTGACCCCTGTCACTGGGGGCTGTGGTCCTGGGTGCCAGCAGAAATCAGAACCCCTGACACAAGTGCCTGATGCCTCCAGGAGTAGGGAGGCGCGGACCTGGCCTGATGGGGGGTGCATAGGGATCTGTCACAGATCCCCTGAGGGAGATGCTGGGGGCGGCTTCCAGGCAGGCGGGAGGCTCTGTGGCCCTACATGGCAACACTGTAGCTAAAGGCACACGCCTTCCTACTTCTGGCCTCTCCGACTCACACCTGTTAGAAATCACCCTGTGAAGGCCCTGCTGTGAAGAACACTACGAGGGTTTCCACCCATCGCTCATCAGAATTCCCGTGTCCTCTGTGGATGGATCAGGAAAGCCCACACAGAGCTCAGTGGGAGCGGGACACAGCACAATCATCAACACGGGGGCCGCTCACCTGAGTCTCTGCACCCCCACACCTCCCAGCGAGCGAGCGCAAAGTCTCCTTTTGCTGGGAGACGACCCCCAGCTAAGTGGAAAACATGAACTGAAACGGTGTGATCACTGAGACCCCGGGGGCTTTACGAGCCCTGGCTATGAGAGGGTCCCCATATGCTATTTTCTGAATATGATGTAAAAGCACCATGAGCACAAGACACCTCGAAAGCCTGGCTCCTGCAGAGCCGGCCGTGGTGAGTGGGTCCCACCCCTGCAGAAAGGCCTCGCCTCAGGCAGCACCCACCCACAAGAGACACCTCAGCTCTCAGGGAGCAACAGGCAGCCAGCGAAATGCTTTCAAAATGCACTGCAGTGCTCCCAGGTATGTTCAAAAGAAGGTTCCAAGACTTCAGATAAAAATCAAATGGTCACATTTCCTTTAAATGTCAAAGAAGAAAATGTCCTATGCCAGATGACAGAGCTGGTGACAAGCAGAGGAGACAGCAGGCAGAGAAGATGAACTTTACCTACAAATCATCGATGAGCCAACATCTTCACAAACCAGAACAGATTCTAAGATAAAACCGTAACCAGCCACCTGGTTCTGCACGCAGGGACAGGGCGTTCGGAGCTGAAGCCTTGCTGGGCCCAGGGCAGCCAATGGCAACACGTGGCTAAAGTCCCCTCCCCAGGCCCGACTGTTTGCGAGTGTCTGGAGCAAAGAAAACACTATGGAGAAATCCTCCCACCCGCTGCCCGCGACACGGTCAGAGCCAGGCAATGCTGCGAACACCTGAGGCTGAGCGGGAACAAGACAGGCCCTGAGGAGACAGCTGCACCCAGCCAAGCATCGGATGACAGAGTTCGCTGAAGGAAGGCAGCTGATCCCAGGAAACACACAGGGCACACCAGCGTAGGGATGGGAATGCACTGAGCCTGGCCCCAGGTCACGGTCTTTCAAGGCTTCCTGAGGCAAGATTTCTGAGCTACAAGCAACATAAGAAGAATGTGCCTAAAAGAAGAAAGTTAGGGGCATTTTCACTGAGTTCCATCCAGTGCCTGAAATAAGGTACATTTACAGCCTAATTAACAGTGGCTCTCCACCAACACTGTTACATTTCATATTTGAAATGAACATCTCTGATATAGGTGTATGGCCTCTGTCATAAAAATTCTAAAATGGAAGTAGAGGCCAGGAACAGTCTAAAGACAGCTGGCTGTAAGTTCACAGAGTGACAGCTGGTGGGGGGTTTTCAGGGGTAAGTGACAGGGCAGAAGCCACCCTGGGAGTCACAAGCTCCGCCTTCTCAACAAGGCAGTCTTCTTGGAAGAGCTTTACGTGATCCCAGCCTCACGACCTGAATGCCAGGAATCAATCCGTTAGCTCAGGGTGCAGGGCCCACAGAGCCCCAAGGCCTCTGGTTCTGCAGCCTCTGGGATTGATTCAGGAGGGGCGGTTCCCAGGGCTATGCCAACCTGGGGGTCCGGGCCACCTGCCGAGGTGCCGACACCCTCCTAAGGAGCTTCCCCGAAGACCACCTAGGCAGGTCCTGGACTTACCTCCCACAGGGAGTCCAGGGCCTGGGGCTACTGCTGGGCTGAGCCTGACCCTCAGGGCTTTGCCACACGGAAGCCCCAGGCCGGACGAGGCTCAGGGAGGCTGTTTCCACAGCAAGAACTTGGGTTTCTGCCCCAGCCCGGCCCTGGCTGTGTGAACCCTCATCCAGCAGGCTCCGATCTGGCCCCATCCGCCCTCAGCGCCTCGTTTCCTCCCATTTTCGTCATCCTCCACAGTTGTGACATTTCTTGGGGCAGTTACTCTCTGGAATTGTTGTAACTTGGAGCCAATGTTCTCAGGGTGACACTGAGGTCGTTCACCTCTGCAGAGCTGCAGATGGGTGCTGGCGCTCACACCCTGCTGGGATGCTTCCTTCCACGTCTTCTGAACACAAAATTGAATCATGCCAGTCCTTGAAAATCACCAACTACTCTGTACAAATGAGGCTCTGGAGGGAGAGGAATGTCCTGGGCACCCTCAGAGACAAGTGAAACGTCCGAGAGATAAATGCAGGCCACACAGACACAACGGTCGGCAGACACCACCCTGATCGCCTGCAGGCGCTGTGAGGTCTCCCGGGTTTCAACCCGCCAAGTGACTCTCTTCCCTTCATAACGAACACACATTGTGGAGGACAGGCTGCGGGACGAGGTCCTTTTCCTTCTCAATCTCGCCCGCTAACGTGGCATCTGCCTGGAGTCCTGGCAGCAGCAGACATGGCTGTGGGCTCCTCGTTGGCGTTCTTTCTTCATGCCTTCCATGTGTATCACGTGGAATTCTATAGGGAAGAACTCCCCACACTTGCACATTTATTGAATTGTTATCTTTGTGTTATTCAATACTTTAAGGACTCGTAGATTTATTTATTTATTCCAAGGGCCACCACCCTGTACTGCCCACATGTACTCTCTTGCTCAAAGAGTCCTGACCCTGGCCACAGAGTCCACCACAGTGTGGACCCAGAGCCCTACAGCGTGGACCCGGCGCCCTCTGGCCTGCCTGTGCAATGTGGACTCAGCACCCTCCAGCGTGGACTCAGCACTCTCCAGAGTGGACTCAGCACCCTCCAGTGTGGACTCAGCACTCTCTGACCCACCTGCCGCAACGTGGACCCAGCGCCCTCTGGCTGCCCGGCCCTCCCATGAGCACATAAGGCCCCACGAGGTACCTCAGACTCACCTTGTATTTCCTCCTCCAGGGCCTGGAACCAGCCCCTTCTCCGATGAGCCCAACATTTAGAAAGCAGGACAGGGCCCGAGTGGGCACCTTGCTCCTCCTGTCTTCTGAACACAAAATTGAATCATGCCAGTCCTTGAAAATCACCAACTACTCTGTACAAATGAGGCTCTGGAGGGAGAGGAATGTCCTGGGCACCCTCAGAGACAAGTGAAACGTCCGAGAGATAAATGCAGGCCACACAGACACAACGGTCGGCAGGACGCTGAGGTGCCCGCGAGGAAGGACAGGGACGTGCACCCGCGCCACGACAGCGTCACCCCTCGAGGAAGGACAGGGACGTGCACCCGCGCCAGCTTCACCCGGGACACACAGGACCACAGCTGAATCTGGGATGATAGACCAGGATACCAGGAATAGCTGCAGCTACTTAAGAATGCAGGAAAACATGGTACTTAAAAATCTTCAGCAAATAACACAATTAGGGTATAGAAATTTAGTCCTTAAAGTTTTCACATGGTCATGCTATTCACGACGGTCAACACATAGTCCTACAGTTGACATTCCATCCATGGGAAAGACAATGCTCCTTTTCAAATTCAAACCTAAGCACGGTCATCAAAAAAAACTAAAGCAAGAAGAAAAACTTTCAGTATTCTAAACTGGTTTAAATGTTTCGTGAACCCCAGTGGCCGTAGGGATGCCATCCTGCACGGTGTTCTAAAATCTCACAAAGGAAAACATCTTTCCTGGCGGTCCGCACACTCCTGGAGCCACCATGGCTGCTCCATCGCTGGAACAGGCCGGAAGCCATTCCGACCCCTGCTACTTCTTGCAAACCTTGTCACAGAAAAGATGAGCCTGCCCCACACAGGGCTTCACTGACAGGAGTTACAGCATGACTTCAGTATTAAATATCAGCAAAGGCTGGTTCTGTGTCATATTATCCATGACCCATGTATTATTCACAGAGCATCCTGTAAACAGGCACAAAAACAGATGATCTCAAATAGATGTCAAAATGGATATCTCATTATAAAGCAGGAGTTTTTGTCTTCAACAAGAATTTTAATAAATCTTAACCCAGTTTAATACAAATATCCAGGTATCTAAAAATAACTTTGCTGACAAATATATACCTCTAAATACTTATAGCTGCTAAAATATAAATCATAAAGTACTTTTAAAAAATATAATTTTAACATTTAAAAATCATTTTAAAAGAGCAAAGTTTAAAAAGCAAAATTAAATATTAATAATTACTTTCCACCAATTAAATATTAATAATCACTTCTACCAACTAACATATGGCAGATTCATAGACGAGTTTCACTTCCTTCCAGCTCTGGAGAAGGCTGGGTGGAGGTGGGGCCTGAGAGAGACCCCACGTTTAGCGTGG